ATGAAAATTTCTTGGAAAAGATAAGTGAGGATGTGTTCCCTTTACAAAAAGCCTTTGCTGCAGCTGAGAATAGAGGAGGCGGAACATTCTTCTGAGGATGCATCCATATTTTTATTAATATCCTCCTTCCTTTATTTCTTTTTTTTTTTTTATTCTATGGAAAGTAATGAAATTCCATGTTTACTGCTACTAAGCAAAAGGAAGTTTAAGGAAAAAAAAATTCTGCAATCTTGAAACATACGGAATCATTTACTCACAGAATCCCAGACTGGTTTGGGTTGGAAGAGACCTTAAAGCTCATCCAGTTCCAACCCTCTGCCATGGGCAGGGACACCTTCCACTAGAGTAGGTTGCTCCAAGCCCCTGTGTCCAACCTGGCCTTGAACACTGCCAGGGATGGGGCAGCCACAGCTTCTCTGGGCACCCTGTGCCAGCGCCTCAGCATCCTCACAGGGAAGAACTTCTTTTAAATTCTCAGAAAAGCCCCAATCCCTAAATTAAATCTTCTCCTCAGTACCAGGGATCTGCAGCGGGACACCTCTGTATTGCAAGAAGAGAGTAGGGCAATAACTGCTCAGTGCTGCTTTCGTATAAATGTCTTGATGACGGTTGGCTCAATTGTTCTTGTCCTTTTGCAATTCATGCATTCTGTGGCAGTAGGTTACATCTCCAGAAGGGCAATGCTTCAGCAATTACATCAAATCAGTAAATTCTCACACCACGAGCATTACTATACTGCTCACACATGGATGAACAAAGGTAAGACCCCAAAACACTGGCTTCGTTTTTATCCTAGCATGTGAGTTGAAGTGTCCTGTGTGTTTCTGTCAGTGAGTTCGGTAGGAGAGGGTTTGGAGTTGCTTTTAAATCAGAAGCCTTCTATTTGTGTGCTGCTGCTCATGGCTGGAGTTTAACAATCAGTCCAGTGCTACCAAGGAAGTTGCTTCCTGAGTTTCCATCTGCATCTCACTAACCCAAACCATGCATAGGACAGGACTGAATGAAAACACCTTGAAGAAAGCAAGACTACTAGTGGTGGTAGTGGTGGTGTGTGCTTTAGACCCACGGAATGCAGCTTTTTAAAATGCACTGGCTGCAGACGATAATGCTTTTGCTCAGAGCTGCTCATAGTCTTAACAGCATGAATAGCAGCATCTCCCAAATGAGAGTCACATGCTAGCTCCCAGGGGATGCTGGACTGGTCTGATGGTGCTCTCAGCCCCTCTGCTGCTAGCTTCAGGAGCAGCCTAGAGACCTATTTGGAAATCCAGGTCTGCAAGAGGAAGAAGAGGAAAAAGGACATGGTCATCTGAGAGAGATGGCTGGGTGGGAGCAGAGGGATCCTGGGAGTTGGATATGTGCCTCTCGGAGAAAAGGAATCCTGGACTCTCTCAAAGCAGGAGGCAATTCAGAGGTGGGAGCACATTTATGAGGAAGTGTCGTTTAGCAGGATATTCTGCAGAGGAGGAGAAGAGGGAAAGAACTGAGGAGCAGAAAAGTTTCTACCTTTCACATACCATCATCCTATCCCCTTACTGAAGCAGGGAGTCCAAATAAACTTTGTCTGACCTAGGTTACAGGGAGTACCTAGACGTGGTACTTGTTCAGACTCCTGTAGAAAGATGCTGTAGCTGACATTGTTGCTACACTCAGCATGCAGTGAGAGAAAAGGAAAATGTAAGAGAAAACCTGGAATACGGCACTTGGGTTAAGGATTACTACAGATTAGTAGTGTTCATACAATTCAACCTTTAAACAATGGGACATCATTTTAAACCATAGCAATCATGCTAGGAAAGGATATGGCAAGTTTTAAGATCTCCCAGAGAAAGTGTTTTTATATTTCTCCAGAACACAGTTGGGTGGCTTCTAAATAGAGAATTTGGGGTAGAATCTCTCTGAGAAAGGAGTCCCAGGGTTTGGCCTAAACTAAATTTTATCCTGAAAGAGGAAGAGACATCTACCTTGCTTTAGAGCTAGCCAATAAAGGCACACAGTGATTGCAACCTTTCATGGGGTTTGGGTTGCTGTTCACATATGTTTAATGACATCAAAATTTGACATGTATCGTGCTGGTCTTTAGAATTCCAGTTTAAGTAAGTGGTGCATTTAATACAAAATGGCACAGTGTGTTCCCAGAAGTGTCCCGAAGGTTGTCTGTTAGTGGCAGTTCTGCAAAGATGTATTAGTTAACTGTACTGCACAGGAGTGAGGAACATTTCTTGTTAATTTAGGGAGGGAGAAAGCTTGATGACACATGCAAATGGCACATCATATATTTTAAGTTCCGTGTATGTCGCCCACACTAACTGCATTTGTCCTTTCAACATCTTTCTCAGTTTGAGCGCCACCATATTTGAATTCTATGTGACTGTGATATTAATACACCTGTTAAAGAGAAAATGAATTACATAATAACATTTTCTTTAAAGTAGGTATCCTTTGGGGGTAAAAAATATATATATAAATATATATATGTGGATCCCTGATCTCTGCCTTGAAATTACTGTCTTCCCCTTCTTTACCTGGCAGCTGTCACTGTGCTTAGGAAGGAGCTGGGCCAACCAGTCCACTGCAGGAGAAGTACAAAGTGCTTGGGGTTATGGGAGACACTAATTCTCAAGGTATTAGAAACTGTGTTTGCACATGAATAAACAATCCCAGGTTTATGCAGATACATTTATCAGTATTGAGCCACAACTAGAGAGCTACAACAGTGCCTACATGAAGGTGAAGCAGGGTGAAGGCAGCGCTTGGAAGGTCAAGTACATATGAGTTTCTCTTCCATGAGAGTGCAGGGGTGGCTGTTCCTCTGGAGCTCCTGTTTGACAAGTGTCCTGGGTTCCCTCAAAGAATAGAAGCTGGCCCAAGTGTGAAACAGCAGCAGGAGAATCTGCCCCCCCATTCCTGAGTGCCACCTTTTAAGGTAGCATACATGGTAACACTTGGTGTGGTTCCAGCAGTGCTTTGCCATGGTTGTGTCCAGTCTTTCCCAGGTAGTTGCTGTGAAGAGGATAATTTCAAAGCAGTTTACACTGAGTCATCTGGGTACAGGAATGTAGTGCTGCAATGCATGGTGTGAGCAAGAGATTCACCAGCGAAACTGCTGCTTCTGGGGGAGAGCTGGAACCATACATACAATATAAAGCTTAGCCCAGTGTCCTGGGTTCAGCTACAGCAGTCATTTTTTCTCCTTCTTAGTAGCTGGTGCAGTGCTGTGTTTTTGACTTTCAGTCTGGGAACAACGCTGATAACACCGATGTTTTTAGTTGTTGCTAAGTAATGTTTACTCTGACCAAGGACTTTCTCAGTCTCATGCTTTGCCAGAGAGGAGGGGAAGCCAGGAGGAAGCAGAGGCAGGACACCTGACCCAAACTGGCCAAAGGGCTATTCCATACCACAGCACGTCATGCCCAGTATATAAACTGGGGAGAGTTACCCGGAAGGCCCAGATCGCTGCTCGGGTCGGGCTGGGTATCGGTCGGCGGGTGGTGAGCGGTTGTGTCCTCTCCCCTTGTTGTTCCTCTTATCATTATTATTGGTAGCAGTAGTGGTTTGTATTATACCTTAGTTACTGGAGTGCTGTTATCTCAACTCGTGGGAGTTACATTCCTTCGATTCTCCTCCCCATCCCTCCGGGAGCGGGGGGAGGAAGGAAAAGGGGGGGAGTGAGCGAGCGGCTGCGTGGTTCCAAGTTGCCGGCTGGGTTTGAACCACGACACCCAGTTTTAAGTTGGAGTACATGAGAAAGTCCTTTTCTAATTTTATTCTTCAACCATGGCAGAAAGTGTTCCTCATTTTAGACGTTTCTACTGGCTCTGAAAAGACAGCTCTCTCTTCTGAGCTATAAGAAGGATCATTTCATAACAGACACAGATCTACAAGTCTTTTATCTGAGGTCCAAGAGCTTCAACTATTTCTCCATCTCCAGAGCCTCCTGGTCCTCTAGTTACTGTTGCAGAAGAGTATGTGAGGTTTTCAGTGATCTAGCCGTATTTTTGACTACAGGCTAGCTGACAGCACAAATTGTTTTGCAAAGACTGTGCTGGCAGCCAGCCCTACTCTCTTCATCCCTCTGACTCCTCTACTCTTCAGTAACCTTTTAGCCTCAGTGTGCTTTATAGCCTCCAGTGCGTGGCCACCGACAGCTCCTGCTAATGCCAGGAGCTCTCTTGCATAGCTTTGTGCTTCCTTCCTGGCACTAGGCAAAGCAGAGCAGAGATCCTTAGCCCTACAGCAGCTAGACCCTCTTTGTTGTTATTCCTCTCTGAAAAGCTCAGAGAGAGTCTCCAAACCTATGTATTTGCAGTGAGGACAATACGACTCTGCCTCCAGCTGGCTCCTGCTGTTGCCTGCTGAAGCTTAGGCAGAAAGATGAACCAGTCAGCCCAGGCTCACCATGCAGTTGGTGCCAAGGGCACAGAGCAGATTTCTCACTTTGCTCCCTGGGAACACAGAGTTGATTTCTACCCCAGGATGGTTTGGATGCTGGGATCAGTTTAGCAATCTTTTCCTCAGAGAGCAGTTATTAACAGCTTGACAATAAGCAATGGCTATGAACACAGTGCTAGAATGTCCTAGCAATGGAAACAAGGACAGAGCAAAGGACACATGCTCTGAAGTTGGTAATGGTGTCCCCCTTCGTGTCCTACAGCAGTGAGATACATGGATTAATTTAAAATGCATTGGTAACATATGGGTCTAAAATTATTCCATGCTCTTTAGAACAAGTCCTTTGAGCTAGGGCTGTTGTAAATTCTAATTAGTCTATGCTAATCTCCATAATAAGCAGCTATTTCTAATGCAGATCTAACTGATGAGGTCTGACAGCATTTTTCACACTTACTTATACACTGGCAGCAAGCTGGTATCAGAATGTTTGCTCAGGTTACAAAAACTCTGTGTTTTCTATACTCTACAGGGAGCTTGTATTTGCTGCAGGCTTGTGCCTCTTCGAGGATTGCCAGTTTATGCCTGTTTGCTTGTATTTATTTATGCAGAAAATAGGGAAAACTCCTTCAGCCGTTCCCGAAGCTCCAGTGTGTCCAGTATCGACAGGGACTCCAAGGAGGCAATTACTGCTTTGTACTTCATGGAGTCCTTTGCCCGAAAGAACGACTCTGCTGTCTCTCCATGTCTCTGGGTTGGAACAGGCCTCGGTATGGTCTTAATCCTCTCCCTTAATCTGCCTGCTAGTGATGATTTACGGCAGTCAGAGCCGGTCATGGTGTCGCCAAGCGGTAAGAGTGCAACTCTTTTCCTGTCTATTACCTTCCTTGGTACAAGGGAGGAATAACTGCATGATTTTGTATGGCCTTTGGGGCAGGAATTTCTCAATACATGTATGAAGCAATGGTCACTCACTGCACAAAAGGCACATGGGTAAATAAAGATGCTGTGGGAGACCTGCAGCTTCATGAACTGAGATGCTTCAGTTGTGTTAGTTCTGAAGAGTACTTTGTGCCATGGGCAAAGTTGCATGTATCTTGTGAGGACAGGGAAATTAGCAGAGTTCCTTCATATTGTGAAATTACAGTCCTGAGTAGCAACTCTGATCCTATAGCAATCCTATCCGGAATGCTTTGTTTCACTGTCTATTTATCAGCTGCAGAGAGGCAGAAGGGAGTTCAGGAAAGGAAACAAAAACGTTGGCAGGTTGAGGTACCAGGAGAGATCCTTGGCTGAGTGATTGACTGATGGTGTAACAGAGAGAACAGAGGGCTGAGAGAGGTCAGGTCTGAGGAGAGGCAATATGTGCTTAGTACCTTTAAAGTAAAATCATGACAAAAATCAGAGAATGTGGAGGAATAGAGGGTTTCCTACCCACCAGCTTCTTTAGAAGAACAATGCTGAAGGTCACCAGACTATGAGCAACAATTTCACTGCTAGGGAACAAATATCCTACTGGTGTAATGTAAAGATAACAGCCTATCTTTATGGTATTCAGTAGCATGTATTATATAGATTATTTAATATCTCTTGCCTAAGACTTTTTCAGTACTGGCAGCCTGTTTGTTGACCTTGTTGTATGGTCAGGAAGAACAGAGCAAGCAAGACTTGTCACCTTAGCTCGATGAATGTGTTTGTTTACAAGAGCTGAACATCAGCTGTGCTGCATGCGTTCACAGTGCTGACAACCAGCTTCGTTGTGGGGCCAGCATCAGTGAGAGGAAATTATGTTTTGCAGGCACAGTTCTGACGCTTAAAGGAGCTGTGCTGACCGTCGTGTGCTTGGACTGCATGGGGACATTGACACATCCACCGTATGAAGTATGGAGGGACCCACACAGTGCTGATGATGGTGAAAAGACAAGGAGAAGGAAGCTTGTCATGCATTCCCCTTCCTCCTCCCAGGATATGGGTGATCATCAATTTGCGGTCATTTGTTCAGAAAAACAAGCCAAAGTCTTCTCATTGCCTTCCCAAACATGTCTTTATGTCCACAACATCACCGAAACATCGTTTTTATTGCGAGCAGATGTGGTCACCCTCTGTAACAGCGTCTGTCTGGCGTGCTTTTGTGCCAATGGGCACATCATGACACTGAGGTACTTATCTAACTAATCTTGGGGCAAAACTAAGCAAAGAGGTGGCACAGTGCTGTCACGTTCCACTTGTGTTTGCTCCAGAGTGCCTGATGCTCTGCATTAACTCCCTGGTGGATGCATTTAATGCCCTGTCTTGCCACTGCCATACCTGTTCCTTGGCCTGTCTCCACACAGGGAGTTAAGGCAGTCGCACAGCAAAGCAAACTGTTCTTTGATAGCAGTTCCCCCCACCTGTGATGACTGATGGCTGATGATTTTTAACTATCATAAAAGAAAGCCCTTATAATTGCTCAGTTACGGTAGGTCAGGTATGGAGGAGGACAGAAAAACTTGGGCACAGAAAGAGTCCTGTTCATCCAGTGTGAAGCAGCAAGTCCCACTATTGCCATTTCAGAAGATTTTCTGCTCAGAGCACCTGGTTTCCCTTCCTTGTCACCTCCACCCGTGAGCTGACTGTGCAGTAGCCCTCTAGCTGTGCCCTCACCTTCTGTGCTCCCTTTTCCCAGCCAGGCCATTTACATTTTGGAAGTGATTTGCCAAAGTGGCAAGCCAGGGGAAGCTGGAGGACAGCGAAGGGGATGCCGGAGCAGGGCCTGGAAGCAGGGTCCATGCCCATGTGATAACTGGGGGCAGACGTTACCCTGCAAACTGCCCAGCCACGTGGCACAAGTCGCACACATCCCAGACCCGGACAGCAGCAGCAGATTAAGGGTTATTGAGGCAGCTGAAACTTCTTCAGCCAAGGATGCCAAGTATGGTGGGAAGGCAGCGTGCTAATGGCAGAGCTTTTCAGCTTAGAGCTGCACTTTAACTATTCCAGTTATGAAAAGCATAAACTTAAATGCTGGTTTAAAATGCAGCCCCAGAGCAGGTGTACCAGGAGTGGCAACCAGTGACTAACATGGGTATCTGCTTCCCGGCAGCTTGCCCAGCCTTCGCCCACTGCTGGATGTCAACTACTTGCCAGTAACAGACATGAGGATAGCACGGACCTTTTGTTTCACTAACGAAGGGCAAGCTTTGTATCTCAGCTCTCCCACAGAGATCCAGCGCCTGACTTACAGCCAGGAGATGTGTGACAATCTGCAGGTAGGGCTCAAACCCTTGCTGTGGTTGGTGCCTTTGTGTTTGTGTGGGATGGCTGGTGGCCTGGTGCATCAGGTGTGAATTGCCACATGTGCACTGCTGGATTTCAGTATTTGACGTGCAGGCTGTGCTGCAGGAGCAGGTCAGACATGCAGGGTCAGCACAGGCGTGTTCCTCTCCACTTGCCTTGGATGAATGATGCCAAAGCAGCTCTGTTGCTGTTTGAAAAGACAGTGCTTTTCATGGCACTGTCACCTTGCTCCTGAGCCTAAGCCTACACCTTGCCCACACGTAGCTGCAGTCTCTCTGCTGGCTCTGTACAGAGGCAGATTTGTGCCCACGTGGGACTCTTCACAGCCCAGTTCTCTAAGTCCTACCGTATGAAAGACCAACTGTTAGAAATGACTGAAGGGAAAGAAGGGGAAGCTACCCATGGGTAGCAGCTACAACAGTTGGTACCAGCATGTGTCCAACCACAGCAACTGCTTCACTGACAATATGAATTCTTTCCTGTATTATTAATCAGTTTTGATTTTAACTCTTAAAAATATCTGAATACCTGCAGCTTTCAGGAGATAGGTGGGAGCAGGAGACAAACCAGTGTGTTTAGCACCAAAAAATATGCTCTGTTTTAATCTAGTTTTTAATTATTTACCATTGTTTTTACTCCAATAATTGGTACTCCCCTTCTTCCACAAAAGGAAAGCTACAGAAATGATCTAATTAAAAGAATTAATTTGAGAAAAAAGTCTTTATGATGTGAGATTTCAGTTGGGGTTTTGGATTTGGGGTTTTTTTTTTACAATGAAAATGCAAATTAAAATTTCATTTACCGAAGAGGAGGAATTGTGAGAGGTTACAGGGAGAAAACGAGTAATAAAAGGGGAAAAAACGGGGAGGGTAAGCTCTAGGTTATATAATTAGCAATAAACTAGGATAGGAATATAAAAGAAATGGTCCTGCCAGCACTCATTATGCCCCAGGGAATAACATGTGCTGAGCTGCTCAACTCCTATCACAGCACTGCCTGTCTCAGGTATGAAAAAGCCCTGTCAGGAGCGAGCACTGCGCACAAGCTTTTGTGCATCAGAGAAGAGGCTGTTTTGCATGGAACCAATTATAAAATGATCAGAAGGTTTGATCAAGGTACCTTAGAACATGAACCTACAGTGAGAGGCTCTTACAAGCTACATTATTTTGTTTATTAACCTTAAAGCATCATACAACAACCAACCAAAGGGAAGCTCAGCCCTTGCTTCTCTGTGCTGCCAGGCTGTGGCTGCTGACACCTTGGCTTTTCTGTGAAGAGGGCAGTAAAAGGCTTGCCCAGTTGTCATACATGTACCCAGAGCAGATGACCCGGTGTCACCTCCTGCCTGGGAAAACAGGGCAGGCTCACGAGTGCCTCCGCTTGGGCTCTAAGGGCTGCAGTGATTTTTTCCCCCCAGAGCAGGTGACTGTGCAGAGGAGTGGAAGCACTGTTGCCCTCAGCGCTCACCCTGATTGGAGCAGAGTGCTCTGTGCAGCACAACAGTGCGTTGGGGCTTGGGTGAGCAAACACAGAGCTGAGCAACAAGGCAGCGAGTGTTCCCGGTGCGTGTTCCAAACACAGACAGGACTGCATGCTTTTTATCTCAGTTTAATTCCAGAGAGCTCCCTTTTCCCAGTACTGCTGCAAATCAATCTGAGCAGCAGAGCTGGTTGGGCCGACGGCTCCAAGGTCTGCCACCATGACAGTGCCTTCAGGTTATTTACTCATGGCACTGCCACCATGCACACCACCAGAGGAGTACCAGGGGAGGTTGTATGGAAGGCGGTGGGATTTTGCTTAAAAAAGGCCACAAAAACCAACCAGACAACAAACTACCAAACTCTGTGAGCTGCTCAGAAGCACTGACCTCAGGTAAGCTATAAAAAGAAAACAGGGAGTGACTGCCCTGCTTGTTTATTCAATTACAGTGTCGTCTCTGCTGTTTCTAAGCAAAATGTGATCTTATCACTGGTATTTACACTCTGCAGTGCTTATAGATTTTTTTTTTTCTCGGTGGTAATGAATGAAAGACTGGGCAGTGACAAACCAAGTCTCTCTGAAAGCATGAGTGAATCTGGCTAGTCCAAGTATTTGCCTGTCACGAAGCACAAATGCTAAGTACTCAGTACTGTTTGAACAACAGAACCTTTTCAGTCTAGTTGATTAGATCCAATGCATGTGGACTCATTAATGCAGATAAAGAAAACACCCAGAACTGCTTTCATCTCACTAATTTTCCACATGGACTTTTGTCTAACTTTGCTAGGACATGCTTGGAGACTTGTTTACTCCTGTGGAAACACCAGAAGCCCAAAACAGAGGCTTTCTCAAAGGACTTTTTGGAGGAAGTGGACAAGCTTTTGACAGAGAGGAGCTTTGTAAGTAATTCATTGGGGTTGAGTTGTTTTTCTTTCAGAAATTAATTTTTGGGATCCCCTGCCCTTGTCATAGAGGAATCATAGACTCAGACTGATGTGGGTTGGAAGGGACCTTAAAGCTCATACACTTCCAACCCCCTGCCACGGGCAGGGACACCTTCCACTAGAGCAGGTTGCTCCAAGCCCCTGTGTCCAAGCTGGCCTTGAACACTGCCAGGGATGGGGCAGCCACAGCTGCTTCTGTGCCAGGGCCTCGTCACCCTTCCATCGTTCCAGTGTCTCAGCATCCATTCATCGTTAACCTCTGAATGGAGTGGTACACAAGGTTCAGATCATGGATGAAAAAGTAAAGATGACACCATGAACAACGGAAGGGTCCTCAGCTGCCTCTCACAATTCCTTCACCTTGGCAGCTTCTCTGAAGCAACTGAGGACGGGGTGCGGCACGACTGTGCTGTAGCTGTGCACAGAGCAAAGTCTTCCACATGTGCCATCTGTGCACTGAATGGCGTCACTGCTGTGAGGCTGCAGCTCAAGGATGAGAAGCACTGACAGAGCCATGGCCAGGGACTCATTCCTCTTTCTTTGTCCGTTTCTCTTTTGCAGTTGGTGAGGCCACAGCAGGAAAAGCCTCTCGCAGTCTTGCCCAGCACATCCCTGGATCAGGTGGAATTGAAGGCGTGAGAGGAGCAGCAGGAGGCGTCATTGGGGACTTGACTCGTGCACGCATTGCCCTTGATGAGAGAGGACAGAAACTGGGAGAGCTGGACGAAAGGACTGCGAGCATGATGGCCAGCGCTGAGGCATTTTCCAAACATGCACATGAGGTAGGGGCCCTGGTACCGCACACCCAGAGCTAGGAACTGCCACCCTGCAACCAAGCTTTGCTTCCCTTTGGGAAAAACAAATATGGTTCTCCCAGTTCACCCAGTCATGTCGGTTTAGGTGCACTCATGTTAACTGGCACACCATCTTTTCTGCGCCCAAACAATGAGAATGCCCAAAATAAACTTCCATTGCACACGTCTTCCTTTCATGTTTTCTTAAATGAGCATCCATTGCTAGCCTCTGAATTTAGAAGATGGCACTTCTCATCTCTCACCTTTCTTACTCTGTTGGGTCTTTTTTTTAAGCTTCTCAGTGCAGCACATCTATGCAGTAGGGCAGAAAACAGGTAGGTGGATGTGTATACAGGAACCTTTACAGATCCGATTGGGAAGAGGAGGAGAACATTTCTTGCACAACACTGTGGTACAGTTCTATAGAATAGGGCTTGCCTGGAACAGACACTTCTGTGCTTAGAGCTGGAAATGGAAAGTTCTTCCATCCCACGCTGTTAAGGCTGGGAATCAACTACAGTGATTTTCCCCGAAGATAAAACATTAAAGAATACTTCTCAAAATGCATGGGTTTTATTTAACATGCATCACATCTCTGGACAAGACTTTTACGTTTTTATTGGCCTTTTAAGTCTGATAAAAAAAAATAACCAACAAAAAAACCCCAAACTCCCCCAAACTAACAGAAAGAATGGGCCCTGGAATGCAAATGTTTCTATGTTCAGGGCATATCTACTGTGTTCCATAGGCAAACTTCTTTCTATAAGGAATAAAAAGAAAGTTCCTGGTTATTCCCATAGCTCTGTACTTCTTGCAGAAGAAAATGAATTAAAGCTCCTCAGGAAAACTCTTCCAATGCCCAGCAAGTGCAGGTCACTTTTTAAAATTATTTTTTTAAATGTCACAATTAATTATGAAATTCAAGATGAGGCCTCAGTGGACTCGAGACCTGATGACGCTGCTGCTAAAGTACCGCACTGCTTTCCCTTTTTAACTTAGGGAGTTTGGGACAGTTACTAGGCCTAGGTCATGCGTGATACAGCATAGAATATAGCACAGAATCCCAGCCTGGTTTGGGTTGGGAGGGACCTTAAAGCTCATCCAGCTCCAACCCCCTGCCACAGGCAGGGACACCTTCCACTAGAGCAGGTTGCTCCAAGGCCATGTGTCCCGCCTGGCCTTGAACACTGCCAGGGATGGGGCAGCCACAGCTTCTCTGGGCACCCTGTGCCAACGCCTCAGCACCCTCACAGGGAAGAATCTTTGCAGAGAAGTGGTTTATATCACTTTGTCTGTTTCCTGTTTCTGCAGGTGATGCTGAAATACAAGGACAAAAAGTGGTACCAGTTTTAGACTTTCACAGAAGCTACTTGTGGCTTTAAGAACACTGTTCAGGGAAGCAGCAGTCATTCCCAAATCTACCAGTCACTGGCCAGAGACAGGTTTTTTTTCTCCTAGAAGATGTTTTCCTGTTGCTATTATTGGATTCATCACGGTGAGAATCAAGGAGAATGTTACAGACCATGAGATGGAAGCTGAAATGACGCGGGTCTTACTCCAGCAGCTGGCTCATGTGGTAGACAATTTTTTCCCGAAAGCATCACTGTGGCATGTAGTTTCTCAGAGGTATGAACTGTGGGGAGTGCATCTAGTTGAAAATACTCTGTACAAACTCAAATGTAATGCACTTACTTATAAACCTTTGCATGACTAATTGACATCTTAAAAAACAAAACAAAAAAAAAAAAAGAGAAAAAGAAAGCATGTTGTGACCGAAGAAAAATGGGATTTATTTGTATTCCAAGACAAAAAAAACAATCCAAACCAAACACTTAAATGGCAAAAATCTTTATTTTTTAAAAGTGACATTACAAGAAGTCGGTACATTTCAAGCATGTTCACTGTTTTCAACATAAAAATGAGTTGAGCTGCACCTTCTTATCTGCTGTTTATTTCCCTTGAAAACCCTTGCTTGAAATCAGTGCTCTCTAACTCCTACCAGAAGAGTAAATAAATTCAAAATCCTATACCCAAAATTTACAGATTTTTTTCAAGTAGCGAGACAGGCACTATCTGAAATGTCATGAAAACATGAGCATAGAAGGGTTATTTGCAATTCAGAGCACGACATGTCATCCTTATCTGTACTTTTAACATGTGCTCTAGATTCATCTCAGTTGTCCTTGAAGGGGGCTGTGACAGTTGTCATTCCCGTGGCATCTGTGTCACTTGGTTGCCTTATTTCCCAGTCACAGGAATAGCCAAATCAGCTTAGGAAATGGTGTCTTCCAAGTGAAGAAAGGCAAGATGGGGAAGCGCAGCCCTGTCAGGTTCTTCTGGCAGAAGCTGCTTAAGCAGCTTGAGCACCAGTGATTCTTCTTCAGCGGTCAGTTGAAATTATGCTAAAGGAAACTGCATGGTAACCCCCACTAGGGCTGGGGCAAAGATCACAGCAACAAGACTAACTGATGGGCCAGAGAAGGAGCATGGAAAACAATTAGCAACATAGACATATAACGCACCTATAAATGACACCATGGGTGAGCAGCACTTGATATTCTGCTCACGCTGCTAAACATCATTTGCTTCTGCTTCAAAGTGGCTTGTTTGGTTTCCATAATGAACTCTGCAGAAAAGTCCCCAACCTGCAGCTAGAAAAAAGAATGGTGTGTGGAACCTACTACCTGTCTACGCCACTAGAGCCCAAGTCCATGAGTGTGCTACAAGAGCCTCAGTGCCACACAGGTCAACTATTAAGTTAGAAATTTTTCCAAGATTGGCTTGGAGAGAAGGCTTTGAAGGCTTGGTTGCATGTGCCTGGACATAGCTTCAAATCAGAAAAAGAAAGTGAGGAAAAGGTGGAGAAGGAGCACTTAAAATTTTTCTATAAGCAAAGAATGATGTCCTCTGTCCCTTCATAGAGTCCTGATGGACACTGATGCAGAGGGGCAGCATCCCCCTCCTAACTGGACCTTGACTTCACTGATGTCTCTATCATCTTAGTGTTCAGATGATGCCCTTCCCCTATCCTTCCTTTTGTTACAATAAAATGGAGCCTGGGAAAGTGTACAATCCAGAAGCCTGGCTTTCACCATCAGCCCAGCTGCACAAGTTAAAGGGCTAGAGCAGATCAGAGGTTTTAAGTTTTAAATTCATATTGTAGCACCACAGCAATGTCATGCTTTGCAGGATTTTCACATTTTTCTGTGGGCAGAATCAAAACAATGGCCCTGCCAAGTCAAGCTCAGCTGGGACTGAGCCTCAACAAGTTCCTCTCTGTCATGGAGGAAGCTGCTCTAAAATTGTTAGAACCTTTGAAACTTGCTGGGAAAAAGGTCAAAGCCCAAGTACTGTCTGGGTTTCTGGCAAGGGTAAAGGAATTGGAGTTGTCCACAAGCTTAGAGGATGTCTCCGAGTGTTTGAGGAAACAGCAAACTCACCACCCTGATGCCAACATGAACTGGGGAACTACTGGCAGCAGCTGGGTCACAGAACTGGCCACTTGCATCTGTGAGGAAGCACATTTATTCCTCACTGCTCTCTCATTCTCTAGAATGAGAAATAAATAACAACATTATAGCAATTCTATCTTCTGTTTAAATGTACATTCTGCCTTCCTGCACTCTGGCCTATACTAGTCCCTGGGCAACAAAACCATTTGGGGCAGCATTCAAACCCTCCCACTAGTTTTCAAACCCTTATTCTTCCTGCCTTCTCCGCTTTTACAGAGGAGCTAAGCAGTCTTCATTGACACCAAACCAAGGCCATCCCACCAGCATTTGGTCTGTCTGCTTCTGCAGAGCTGGTGCAGACAGAAAGGCCATCACCAGGTCCAGCGTGGCCCTTGTACAGCTGGTTTCCACCATGAAGAGGTGTTCAGGAGGCAGCCCCGTGAGTGGTGGCACGTGGCTCACTTCAGTGACAAGGAAGCTGCTGGTTCTGTGTCAGTTCTCAGCTGTACCTTACGTGTGTGGTTAACACTGAGTTCAGTGGGAACGGCTCCAGGCTGGAGCCTGAGCTGGTCACTGGTTTGAGCATCACAGCTCAAAATTTAAGAGCAACTTTTAACTGCTGATCACTGCAGCACACCCAGAGAGAAGTGACTTCAGCAAGTCTTTTACACAAAGCCTGACTGACTCTGTCTGTCAGCAGGCTTGAGCTTAACACCGGGGTGGGGGGGAACCTACCAGTAGATTTCCATTTTTTATGCAACAGAGAAATGAGAATTTAGCATCCCTCAAACTGACACTTTTTAATAGCAAACTTGGAAGCAACCTACCCTAGCACTCCCCAGCAGGTCACAGCTGTATCTTGCTTTCCACTCTTACATATTTTACATCTTTCCAGACAGTTACAAATTACTATTTCTGTTAAGTTCACCACTTGTGACTATAATTATCAATTTTCTTGTAGTCTGTAGAGATCTAAAACGTTGTATATGTTTGTATATAGAACAGTCTATATATATAAATATATATATGTAATGTATATGTTGTATAAGTTTGTTAGTGCACACTGTTAATTGCTTTCTATCCAGATTTACCATGTATGTGGAAAAAAACAAACAGCCTTCACTTAAAAACGTCAACAAGGGAGGAGAAACTCCTCTGGCCTGGTTGGTTTATTGTGAAATGAGCGGGAGTGTGGGATTTTTGAGGCCTGACCGGAACACTACTAAAGGCACAAAGATGCAGCATTCCAAGCAACAAGCACAGCATCCAACCTGACTTGCCATTAGAAAATTGAGGACACTGGCTGTCAAGATCACGTGCTTTCACCTTCCCCCCTAAAACAGCACCACCTCAGGCAAAACCCTAACCACTGCCTTACCTTCAACATCACAACCCTCTGTTACAATAGACCACATTGGCTGGAAATATTTGCTGGATTTCAAATGCATTTAGGTCATTTGGATACCCTGTTTCCTCAGCTCTCTTATCCCACCCACATCCAAAACCAGATACAAACAAACACATGCATCAGCGGTTGACCAGGTGTTTTTAAACTTATGCCTAGAGCTGTACGTAGACAGAGTATGCAGAGAAAATCTATAAGGTTATTCATAAGGTTTCAGAGTTGACAAGTCCTCAGTGAATTACAAGCTGTTTCATTAAAAAAGAATAAAATCCATTTCATAGAGCCTTAAATTCAGTTTCAAATCTTTAATTAAAAAACATGATTAAGGAAAATTTAAGAATCAGGTTTTGGTTTGTATCATTAACTGTTTTCTATATTCTTTTTACAGTTCCGCATTTCAACTATTTATATCAATTAGACATTTCCTCTATTACCAAAATACAGCTTGTGATACAAATATTTAACAGAAACACTCTATTTACTACACATAAAATTATCACAGACAGAAACTCTCTAAAACAGTTTACATATTGCTGTAGAGAAGCCTTTTCACACCACAATGTGTGCATTGTAATGAAGATATACATACAAAAATGGTTTTATCAGTATACAATTTACAAAGAAAGCACTGCAGCTTAAAGAGCAGCAGTGTCAGCCTCAGGACCCCTCCATATATAAACTGTGTGTATTGTAACACAGGCAAAAGCCCCAGATTTCAGTTACTAATGCCCTTTAAGTGCCCACCCTGTGCCCCCCATACATCCTTCTCCATAGCCTAAAGGTGAATTGAAGCACAGTATGTTTCAGTCTACAGTGTTCTTCTGCCTTGGCATGGTCTTAGTAAGAACACACTCTCTCTCATTAAGGAACTATGTGTGGCCATTTGTAGTCAACTCTTCATCTTAGGTGTATAAGCAATAGTCATGTAAATGAGTGTTTCCATTCATGTGTTTTGTTTTGTGATTAAATCAACAAATCAAACATTGTACTTTTTTAAATAGCAACCAATATTCAGATTCAGTGTCAAGGAAACGTGGACAGAATATGTGTGGGGTTTGTTACCGAGTCGTTACCTGTATCTCGGAACGAAGGCTGAACACTCCTGCGCTAACCATGGCCTGTTTGCACAGGCATCCTCAGGCAGCGTCACAAAAGGAAAACAAGGCATCTTTAAGTGAGGCTGTTTTGAGTCCCCAGTAACAACCAAAAAAAATAAAAAGAGGGAAGGAAAATAAAGGCAAGAATTGATATTGGCTGGTGTAGATCTCTTCTTTCTTTCAACATCTACTGCTGGATTCTTTATAGTGTTTCAAAGGTGTGTGGTTAATGGAAAGCCTTTGGATGGAGTTTACACTACTTGCTCTCTCTCAGGAACATGGAAACGCAGCTACAGTTGCTGCTGGGGCAGGGATGGCCACCTCCCTCCTTCCAGCAGCTCACACAGGGACAAAACCTGGACCCCAGCTCATGTTCCTGTACTGCAGGGAGCTCATAACCGCAGTACCAGCCCCAGCAATACCAGCCTTCTACCTGGGCTTCCCCACCGAAGGTGTGCCAGCACCCTTCCTGCCACTTCCACTTGAGGTTCAAAGCCATCACGTACCAGCTGCACTCTCAGAAGTGCGGGAGTGAGCACACTGAAGGGCACTTACCAACACCTCTGCGTTGCTCTGCCGGGAGAGGCTCAAAAATGTCAGGCAGAGCTTCCAGCTCCCTCTTTTCAGCTGCGGATCTGCAGGAAAAGCTCTATGGCTCTCGTCCTGATGAAACACAACATGGGCAAAAGGACCAGAACACATCCAATTATAAGTGTCATCATTTGTCACCTGCCTCTCTCCCACCACTGCCCAGCTACAAAACAGTGCACAGAGCA